TTTCCAAAGTATCTGACGAATGTATCTTGCTTTTGAGTCCTTTTTCCACACTCTGGGGTCCCACACTTCATCTGACGGACCGACCGATCCTCCTTCTTCATAAGACCCCCAACGGCATTCTGCATTTTTCATTTTTTTTGAGCGCCTCCACCTCCCCCCGGCCCTGTGCCGTGGTTTTCGCGCGCACCCGACCCCCTTCAATCGCGTTTACGCTCCCTCCCTCCAGTGCCGCATTCTTTTGTCTAACGCCATCTCGACGAAATACAGCAACAAACAGACAGACAGCTCCGGTTCAGAGCCAGCGCATGCGATAACGCGGAGGGGCCAGCGTCGATATCCACACGGTGGATGATCGGCTAAAAGAAGACATGATGACCAGTATGGGACCATCCTTTCGCAGGCCACCCTGCTGGCATGCACCAACACCCCGGTGTTCCCTGGCCATCCCATGGCTCCCTGGGATGCCTCACAATCCGAGCCAGCAAGGCGCGCCCGGCGGAGGCATGCCTCAACAGATGCACATGGCCGTCTCGGGCCCAGGAGGTCAGGTCAACCCAGCCGCCATGATGGGTGGCATGCCACCTGGCGCAGGCGCGCCCAATGCCCACGCCCTCCAGCACTTGAACCCTGCACAGGCCCAGATGTTCCAGCAGGGTCAGTTTGGCAATTGTAGGTGCCCATCTCAATCTGCATCACCGTCAGCTTCAACGCGTCAGCTTCTTCCTTCCATCCAACCCAGCGAACTGCCGTAGCAATCCCACCCATTTCTTCTTCTGTTTCTTCTTCTTGTTCTTCTTCTTATTCTTCTTCTTGTTCTTCTCTTCCTGCCTGGTTTTCAATCGCACGAGTGCCTGCTGACATCATACCTCCTCCGACAGTCGGCAGCAACCCCTCCATGGCACAACTACAACAGCATCAGCGATTCATTCAGCAGCAGCAAGCAGCTCGTCAACACGCCATGGCCCAGCAGGCGGCGTTCCAGTCCAACATGCAGGTCGGCGTCAATGGCATGCCCATGGGCGTGCACATGAACCCGGCGCAGATGGCCGCCTTTAGGCAGGCTAGGATGCAACCTGTGAGTCCCGTCCTTGACCCGTCACGATCCCATCGTCCAAAGCGCTAGCTAATCCCCACCCGCGAAGCATGCCCACAACCAAGCCATGCTGGCTCATCAGATCGCTCTCCAACAGCAGCAACAAGTGGCACAAAACCAGCAGATGCAGCAAGGTGGACAGCCGGGCCAGCCGGTGCAGATGAGCGCCCAGCAGATGCAGAGCCTCCAGCAAGCACAGATGGCTGCTCTGCAGGCACAGCAACAGGGCCAGCAGCAGGCACAGCAGCAGCAGCAACAGCAACAGCAGGCTCAGCAGCAACAGGCCCAACAGCAGCAGGCTCAGCAACAGGCCCAGCAGGCCCAGCAGCAGCAGCAGCAGCAACAGGCCCAGCAACAGCAACAACAAGGCCAGCCTCCGCAACAACCACAGCAGCCCGGTGGGCCGCAGCCTCAACAGCAGACACCGCAACAGCAGGCGGCCCAACCCGCCGGACCGCAGTCTGCAGGTCATCCCACACCGTCGCAGACTCCTGGCCCCCAGCCAAATCAGCAGCCTCAGCCTCCCCAAGCCCAGAACCAGGCGCAAGGTCCACAGCCGGGACAGCAGCCCCAGCAGCAATTGAACCCCGCACAGCAGCAGGCTCAACACGCCGCAGCGCAGGCTGCCATGGCTAATAACATGGCCCTGGCCCAGCAGCAAGCGCAGGCTCAGCAGGCGAGGAGGGAAGCAATGAAGGGGCACTGCTTGCTGAAGCTCATGCAGTTCAGCGAGCACCTCAGCGGCTTTCCCGTAAGGACTTTGGCCGGCATGACACGGAGGACAACCGCTAATATGACACTCTAGGGATCACGAGGCAAGGATGATTTGTCGTACTGGAACATGTTTGTCAACCAATTCTTCTCCACGAAAGGCGTGTTCCGACACTCTGTTCATATCACCGACCACGAGGATCCCTCGGATAAGCAGTACGAAATCTCGTACCCCGCACTCGCGCGATACTTCCACACCCATTTCGACAGCGGCGTCAAGAACATGCAGTTGATCATGGAGAAGGGCACCACTGACCGCCCTCTTCCTGGCGATGGACACTGGATCGAGAACACCAAGTCGAGCCTGGTGTACTGGTTCGACAATGGATCACACGTAAGTTTGTTCTTGGCCTGGAAGCCATGCCATCATGCCACATCCGAGATTAACATGAAACCTCAGCTTGTCGCGACTGGTACCGTACGAGCCCATTTCGACCACGAGCAAAAGATTGAGCTCTTTGAGTTTGTCACGAGTGGCCACGAGGAATACATTTCTCGGAAATCCGTTATCGAATCAGCGAAACCCGCGCACAACTGGGTCAAGGAATGGCACAAGGTCAATTCGCAAGACTCAAAGACTTCGCCAGAAATGAGCAAGAAGGGCAAGGCAAGGCCATTGAAGTCGCCGCAAAACCCACCCCCAGAAGCCTTGGTGGATCTCCCTGAATCCTCCGTCAAGAGGGGCATGGGTGTTACGGAGGAAGTCTTCCAGTTCCTCGAGGTATGTATCCCCGCGGACCCTGCAGTAGAGGGTTGGCACTAACCAGGATGTGCAGATCGTTGAGGTTTTCGGTCAGATGAACCCGCTGTTTGGCTTCTCTCACAGCCACCCTGGCATGCGCCCCTACCTTGCCCTCGAGCAATACGTCAACCAGATCAACAGCCAACCCCAGCCCAACATGAATGGTCAGCCTATGCAGCAAGGGCCGCCACGGACCCCAGGTTTCGGGCAGTTCCCGGTCCCGCAAATGCCGCCAGGGGGCGTGGGAGCGAGCCCTGCCCAGCCGCACATGCAGCTCCCTGGGTCGCCTCACATCATGGGCAGCCCGGCGCAAGTTCAGATGCAGGCACCCGGTATGCAGCTGCAGCAGAGCCAACAAGGCACAAGCTCGAGCGGGCCGAGCGCCAACACGTCACCGGCATCCAACAAGAGGAGACGCCCATCAGGGGTCAAGACGGAAGACGATGGTTCCTCGGCGCCAACGCCACAGTCGGGACCTGGTGGACAGGTGAACGGCGTCGGCAACAAGGGCAAGCCTCCCACGCCGAGAATGCCCAAGCGAGTCAAGGGCAACCCCGCGTGATAATGTGACAAGACATATTCAATTTGAACGTCATGCAGTCAATACCATTGACAACACACGACACGGCATCGTTGCGTCTATTGCAGCATGCCGACGTCTCGTGTCTACTCTCGGATTCAAGGCCTGACTACACTGTCGGTTGCTTCCGGGAAGCATCCAAGCGATTCCTGATGGCCGGCAATCTTGACCCTACTCTTTGGTCATTGATCACACAAAACCACGACTAAAGAAGAAAAAATACACACGCCTACCTACCTACCTACCTACCAACAAGGCGATTATATCAAGTCGCGCGCCCACTCTATCAAGGCGCGAACTAGGGCCAATTCGACCGCATGACGAATAGCGACTGCTGATGTGGAAATATCGCTCATCGCTCCGCCCCAACAATCCCAACACAACAATGATCCGTATCCGCAAGGCGCAAGGAAACGGTTAATGCAGGTGACCAACGAAGTTACCGTGTACGATATCACGCTCGGAAACGACTGCTCTCGAGCTCATCATCCGCTGTCCATCTGATTTTTACTCTTTTGCTATCATCACAAGTCCAGTCAGTATCTTGGTTGGTCCTCATCCTCTTATTTTTTTTTTCCAGGAGTATCCCATGGTTTGTCATTTTGTCGCGCTGGGAAAGGAGGAGACGGCCCCCCTAAAAAGAGATCGTTTGTCTTTTTTTGCTGCTTGATCGAGAGTCGTTTTTCGTGATTATTATTTTTTTGGTATTTTATCATTTCATCCGCTGTTGTCATCATTGGCGGTAGTTGGGTGAAACGGGTGGCGGGGTGCGGTGGAAATCATCGGCGTGGCAGTCTCGGTTCTTATTTTTTTGTTTAAGTCCTTTTTTTGTTGGCTCTTTCCATGCCGTTCTGTTCTTGTTTCCATGTCATGGTATCCCCAGTCTCGAATACCTAGTTCCTTTTGGGGATGATTCATACCATATGAATTGGAAGCGCTCTGTGGCCTGGCTTTGTGACTCGATGTGGCTATCTGTGCAATTCGCGAAATTGACGCATATCCCTCCAGCTACGCACCCTCTGTTCTCACACTTGTTCAGCATCAGCCGCGGTTTCCTGAGGAGCTTGGTCCCCGCCCCTATCAGGTAGATCATGATCCTGCCGCAATGCCACGACGGGACTGCGCGCCCTCGCCCCCTCGACGTCAACGAGAACGCACAACCGCAGGCCGCCTCCTCCAAAGCTCATATAACCAGGCCACTGCTCCTCCGAGACATGCCGCAGCTCGACGACGTGCACAACGGCCGAGACCTCGAGCCGCGACGGCTCGGCGCGATACGTCGTCGCCGGCACCGCAGCCGCGACACGCGCCGCGGCGTACGCGGTGCCGAACCCCACCGCCGGCCGCGCGACGAGGCTGCTCTGGACGGTGGCGCCGAGGTAGTCATGACAGTAATGATAGTAGTAGCCGCTGCTGTGCGGGGAGACGACGGTCCAGGGCGTGACGAGCGCTTGCGGGGACAGGGCCCAGGTCGCGTACGGGACCGTGACGGGCGTCATGACGGGGATCGTGGTCGGCAGGAGGGTTGTGGTGTGGGAGGGCCCGCCGGCGATGCGGACTGCGCCGTGGGGGAGGGTCCAGTAGAGGGTTACGTTTCGGTCTGTGAGGGGGAGGTGGGTTTCTTCGGCGAGCGCTGCGAGGAAGGTTGCGCGGGTGGCTGCTGGGGGCGGGGGGAGGGGGAGGGTGCGGATGGAGAGGTTATGGGGTGGGGTGATGTAGAGGAGGTAGATTGTTGCTGTGGACGACATGGTGAGAAGAGTGAGGTTTCTTGGAAATTCTTCCTTGGGTTGGTGATACTATGGACGAAGGACTGCGAGCATGATGGTGTGGCTGCTTATACCGCTGCGCTCAATTGTGTTTTTCATGTGATTCACTGTGACTGTCATGTTCAGCATCTGCGGCGGGTGATCGGCCACAAAGAATCGGCCTTCATCACAGGGTCGGGAACAGCTATGCTGATGAATCAAACAAGTCAGTGATGCTTCCCTGCTTCACTAGGTCCCGGATGTCATATCAACATGTCACAGCGAGCTGTTGAAAGTCTTGTTTCGAGTCATCAAGGATCTTTTGCATGCTTGTGCTGATCTTTCATCACGACATCAGTCGGGCGCACATCTATTCCTAGTGAATCTTTGCAAATCTAGCGTAGAATACCGATTACTGTATCCATGTAGGTGATGTTCATGGTGACCTACAATGCTATGACATCTGAAGCTAATGCGACAACGTTTGTCACTCACTTGTATTGCTTGCAGACCGCGAAGAACCTCGTCACCGAATCATGGATGAATATTTTCAGGACAGGTCGGAAGTACAAGACTTTCTGAATGAACGAGAGTGGTTCAGAACTATTCCAATATCCATACAGAGCCAGGACACATCGACAAACATGCTGCAAAGATTGTGCCCTCCGAGCTGAATTTGAAGTGTCTCGTCTGATGATCGCGTCTTCCCACGAGCCAGTCTTGTCAGTAAGGAGCCATCAAGACCGAGCCATTAAACACCGGCAATGATATCATCCGACGCCTTCTGGCTGACCATAAACGTAGCAACAACAGGAAACACGCCTGGGATTCTCGGAAAGACACTCGCATCCACAACCCTGAGCCCCTCGATACCCCTGACCCGAAACTTGGAATCCAGCACCGCGTTCCGGTCGCCGTCGGCGCCAATGGCGCACGTGCTGGTCGGGTGGTGCCCGAACGTCTGGTCCTCGATCCACCGCTCGTCAACGGCCTGGTCCCGGCAGTAGCCCGTCGCGAGGACCTGCCCGCTCGGGCAAGGCGGTTCCAGCGGCGTGACGGGGCCCGAGGGGCTGCGCGTGCTGGCGAAGACGCGCCGCACCCAGGCGACGGTGTCCTTCATGCCGCCCATGTCGATCTCGCGCTTCTCTTTGTAGAGGTTGAAGTTGATGTCGGGCGGGTCCGTCGGGTCGCTCGAGCGCAGCCGGACCGTGCCGGCGCGGTTCTGTGGGTGTTGCTTGACGATGGAGACGCCGTAGATGCCGCGGTCGCCTGCATTGAGGCCCGTGTTCGCCTGGCTGTCAGGCCAGAAGCCACGGAAAGCGTACGGCCCGTGCATGAGGAAGACGTCGCGCTCGCCGTAGGGTGCGTGGTCCGTCTGGTACATGACGAAGCCGCCCGAGCCGAAGCCGCTGGCTGTGCCTTGTGGGCGGCCCACTACTGGCATCTCCTGGTTGTCCTGCATGTTTATGCCGACTCCAGGAAGGTCAGACAGAACGGCTATGTTGAACCGGCGCAGCTCGTCGGCGGGCCCGATGCCGCTGAGCTTGAGAAGCTGGGGAGAGTTGAAGGCTCCGCCGGCGAGGATGACCTCGCGCCGCGCGGTGGCGGTGCGCAGCTCACCCCGGGCGCCGTTGTAGCGCGCATCCGCCTTGTAGAGGGAACGCCCGACACGATACTCGACGCCAGTGGCGCGAGGTTTGCTGCCAGAGGTGTTGAAGAGAATTTTTGTGGCGAGTGAGTTCTGTGAGAGAGTCAGTGGGAGACCGCCAGCGTTGATGCTCTCAATGACATAATCGCGTGAGCTGTAGCGCTGGCCGTTGGAACGCGTGTGGCGAGCGAGGCCGTAGATCCCGACTTCGCGATCACGGGTGCTGCTCAGCTGGTTGTTGTCACGACTGGCGTACTGCGTGATCTGATTCGGGTCCTGGCCAAGAAGGGTGGCCATGGCACGAAGAACATCGCCAACGACGCCAGTGATGCCGCCAAATGTAGGAGCAATGTGAGTTTGGAACCAGCCATTGAAGCCATGCCCTGGAGTCCCGGCAGGGAGATAATTGTTCTTCTCGATTCGTACGAATACGTTTCGCATGTTGGCCGCACTTTATACTGTAAGCGCTGACAAAGTTAAAGGCGCATAGAGGACAGCCTCACCTCCATGAGGTATCGTTTGTCAGGTTGACAATATAGTCCCAATCACTATCGGTGGGCAGGTGAGTGGCCATGGCATTAATCATGCTTGAGCCACCGACGGTAGCGCCCCGGGGATAGTAAATCCCGAGCAGCTGTGCTCCGGCGGGAACATCCTTGTTGCCAGTCCAGTACCGGCCGTCGGGGAGTCGCCAAGTGACCTGGTTGTTTCTTATGTTTCTGGCATCTTCTTCGTAATGTTTGACGAAGAAGTCCCATGTGATAGAGGACGGATATTGGCCCGACCCTTGAGCGACGCTAGTATCACCGGCTTCAAGGAGAAGCACAGAATGGCCAGCCTTGGCCAGGTTGACGGCTAAAGGACCGCCACCTGGGCCACTGCCGATGACGATGTAGTCATATTGGGCTTGGGAACGGGCAGGTTGGACTAGCAGGGAGGCGAGTAGAATGTGATAAAGCAGCACCAGTGCCCTGACGTGAAGGAAAGCCATAATTTTCTTGAGTTGCGAGAGCCATGTAACTTCTTTGCCGTCTGATGAACAGCAATGTCAAGCTTTTGTCCGTCGTCTTTTATATGCTGAATATTTGTTGAGCAACAGCCAAGTTCGCTCCGTACAATGACGCAAGGCCTTTTCGCTGCATATGCCTCTACCTCCGCTCTCCTACATGCAGAACGAATATGATATTGCGAGTGAAATGGTGCTGCCATATCGGGGACGTCTTGGCCATCGGAAGGTGGGATTGCAGACCACTCGTAAGTTGCTATATGCAAAGACAGGCCGAAGTGACGTGCACAGTTGGTCTAACAAGTGGATTCATCCAGAGAACGTCGTGAGGTCTGCAGCATTTGCTGATGGCTCTCCTCTGTCTACTATCAAGTATGCTCTCGAATAGGTCAAGCGTCCACAGAGTGGTTGCTCCATGATTTACGTTGTGTTCCAAGCGACGGCGCCATGGTGGCCATCGGCATTGCGAGTGTGACGATCAAACTGATGGACGATCAAGACGGGAAACTGGCATCAATCTCTAGCGGAAGAACAGAGAGGATGAACTTCTCATCTGGGAAAGTGATGGGCGGCGGACGAGAAAGAATGCTACGGCACGTGTTGGCCATGTTGCATTGGTGGCAGGCTTAGAATAGCCGGCATTACTGGAAGATCCGGAGAGTATTTGCCCCGCACTTTCAGACGACCGCCATCGGCACTTGTTTGGTTTGCCAAAGACGGTGATGTCCCTGGTTTGGCTCTTGGGAGTAATGCTTCCGAGATGGGTCGAGCTCGACAGATGAGGAAGGTGGATGATCCTGCGTGGAAATCGGAAGCAACCCGTGTGTGGGTTGATGAGGCATTGGAACCGACCATCGACCATCGACCGATAAATGTCGATCGTAAGTTCAGGGTTTGCTGCAAGTTACTTAGGAGGGAAGAGGAGAGGGGTCATCCAGGAATGGGAGGCTCACAGGCATGGAGTTGATGGCGGGGGTTGAGGTCGCCAACTGAAGGATGTCGCCTTAGTCAGCCAATCCCTGCCAAAATGTTGACCCAGCAACGCGTCGCATCCAAACACAGATTCTCTCGCGAATCAGTGCGATCGTCAACAGCAATCAACAGCAGCATCGTGTCGCAACTCCCACGCAGGCGGCAGCATTCAATACACCGACAGGATCTCCCGCAGCATCAAAAACGAAACCCGATACCGAAATATAGCAACACCATGGCCTCTGCGTTCGAGCCCTCCATGTCGTCCAGCCTTTCGAGGCCGCCGCCCATGGCCACAGGCCCCTCGATCGCCGACACGCTGCCCAACATCAACTTTGGCTTTGACGACCTGCGCGATCGCATGGCCAAGTTCACCGTCAAGTTCGACGCCTTTATAGAGCAAGGCCGCAAACGTGTGCTCGAGGAGAGGAACCAATTTCACATGAACATTGCCGAGCTACAAGGTTCGTTCTTGCGATAGACCCCGTCCTTCGCCCGCCTTGTGCACCCAGCTAACAGAGATGCCACAGAGGACCAGCGCATGAAGAAGAAGGACATTGAAATCCTCCAGCTCAAGATGAGCACACATCAGCAGACGGTCGAGAAGGAAGATGCCGAAAAGCGCGAGATGCAGGCGGCCATCGCGCAGCTCGCCGACGAGCGCGACCGCCACACCGCGCACCGCAACGCGCTGAAGAAGCAGATCGCGGCGACGCAAAAGGAGATTGACGCGCGCTTGGCGGCGCAGCAGGCGTATGCGCAGCAGCTCGAGGCGCAGTCGCGGTTCAACGTGCCGGAGCTCGAGTTTTGGCAGCAGAACTTGGGGTTGCGGATCGAGGGGGCGGGCCACGACGACCGCCTCAAGTTTGTGTACACATGCATCGACGAGAAGGACTGGGACCGCGAGGCGTGGTTCGAGCTGAGCACGGCGAGCCGGGACTATGATGTCAAGCACTGCCGACCCAAACTGGAGAGGGAAAGGGTCGAGCGTGTGCTCGACAGGGTCAACGAGACGCGGGAGCTGTCGGCACTATTGAAGGGGATGAGGGAGCTGTTTGTGGAGGCGATGAAGGGGTAGCTAGCTGGCGCTTGGGCGACGACGAAATGATACCACGAGTTCGATTGAGTGGTTTGCCACCATGCAATGATTGCTGGATTGACTGATGTCAGAGCCACAGGGAAGATTGAACACCCAACCACCGTGATCTTGCCTTCAAAAGAAAAGAAAAGAAAAGAAAAATGCACTGAATCACCATTAGACGTCCTTCACCTTCCCAGATGCCAGGAACCTAGAGGCCTAGAGGCATCCCTACATCAATGACAGCTTGCTGACTCATCAAAAACATGACGCGCATGAATCGCAATCTCCATGACTCGGGCGACAAGGCTGATATCGAATGGGACTCAGCCGTCCTGATTCATCAGACGCCCTCTCATAGGCCAGTCCCCCACCCGCAGCAGGCCAGAACTTGTTCGCTTTTCCCTTCTCGCCTCAGCGCAGATGCGCAGACCAGCGTCTGTCAGCCCATCACACTGCACACTGCGCCCTTACCCTTGTACGAACGAACCACGAACCACGAACCACGAACCACGAACCAACCCCGACCGATCCGACCAGTCTCGCTCCTTTCTTGTGCGAGACCGACAACAAGTGGGGGACCGCCAGACGAGTGATCCAGGCACCGGCCGGCGTAGGAGTAGGAGTGGGCGTGGGAGGGGAACAGGTGTCCATCGGCTGAGGCGAAAGGCAGTGAGAGGCCGGACGAAAAGATCCTCTTCGGCCCTCCAGCCTGGGTCTTTGGCACTGGCATTACCCACACAAACGTCCCCGCTGCGGCGGCTCTATCCACCGGTCCGCGACCACCCAGCATACCCACCACCGATCTCGACCGATAATACATGGGACGTCTTGGAGAGAGATAGGCAGAGGACCGATCACTCCACCTTTCCCCTCGGCCCGGCCTGTGTGTCCGTTGCTCGCCCATACTGCCAGCTTGGCTGTTAGCCAAGCCAGATCGCCCGCCCCCAACTCCTGGCCCTGTTTCTTTTCTTTCGTTCTTTTGGCCGGTTCCTCCCATTGGGAATGCCTCAATGGCATCCGATGCAGCGAGCCAGCCCAGCCCTGCCGCCTCTGTGGCCTCGTCAGCGACCCCCAACCTGACCTCCTTCCCCAGCCACAAGCGCACCGCGCCGGTCGACGGGCCCAGCCCCTCCGCCGCCAGTCCCGATGCCGAGGACCCCGGCGGCACCCAGGCCGACTCGGCCAAGAAGCGCCGAACAGGACCCGGTTCACGTGGCGTGGCCAACCTGACCCCGGCCCAGCTGGCCAAGAAGCGAGCCAACGGTATGCCCTGTTGTCTTTTGCATGTCTTTGCTGCCTCTATCTGGCGCCCTCTGTTGCGCAGAACACACCCCCCACCATCCTGCGACGGCAGCTGACCTGTGCTTCTACGTATGAATTAGACCGAGAAGCTCAAAGGGCTATCCGTGAGCGGACCAAGAACCAGATCGAGAACCTGGAGAAAAAGATCCAGGAGCTCACATCCCAGCAGCCGTACCAAGATCTTCAAGCCGCCGTCCGAGCCAAGGAGGCTGTAGAGGCTGAGAATGCCGATATCAAACGACGCCTGGCCACCATGATGTCGTTGATCCAGCCTCTCCTGACCTCGCCACCTGGTCCGCCACCACCGGAGCAGACATACAGCTCGCCGACGGCTCAGGGTTATGCTCCTGCGCAGCATGCAAACCCTCCCGTTTCCGTCCACACTTCGTCCACGCCTGGGAGCGCCCACTCTCCAGGCTCCGTCGACCACCATCCCAACTGGCACGTCGACTCGGCAGACCAGCAAGCACGGGGCAAGATGCTGAACCAGCAGCGCCACAACCTCCGGCACAACCTGGATCTCGGCCCTGAGAAGCTCGGCCTCGACTTTTTACTCGACCCCAACCGCAACTTTCCCAAGATCCAGAACGGCCTCAATGGAGCCCAGGACACTGCTCAGTTCCACCACGTGCCCATGAAGCATGACTGGACTGGGGTCGCTCCTGTGGCACGCAGCCCGGCAGAGACGTCCTCCAATGGCTCCCGCCAGCCGCGCCGGCTCGGGCTTGAGCACACGGGCGAAAATCCGTACGGACAGCGGCCTCCCCTCGCGCCCAGTGGATACATGACCACTGAGCTCAAGAACTGTGGCCCCACGTGTCCCCTCGACAGCCTCCTCCTTGACTTCCTGCATGAGCGCCGCCAGCGTGCCGCCGACGGTTTGCCCACGCAAGAGATCATTGGCCCCCGCTATCCTTCCGTCTCGTCCCTCCTCAACCCCGCCAATAGCAAATACTCCCACCCGCTCTCCAAGGTCTTCACCGACATACTGTCGACCTTTCCTGATCTCTCCAAGCTTCCCGAGCGCGTCGCCGTCCTCTACGTCATGTTCCTCATCATGCGCTGGCAGATTGCGCCCAGCAAAGAGAACCTCGACCGGCTGCCATCCTGGGCCGTGCCCGTCCCGGAGCAGTTCTCGTGTGAGCACCCGGCCTGGATCGACCACCTGCCGTTCCCCCTCATGCGTAGCTACCTCGCACGCGAGCACCTCAGCCCGGACTACATGTTCGACATGTTCTTTGTCCCCTTCACCGCCACGCTGTCGCTCAATTGGCCCTATGAAGAAACGGACACGCTGCTTGTCGTGCCAGACTCAAACGACGTCATGATCAACCCCGTCTTCGAGCGCCACATGCGCCGGCTCGAGAACTGGACCCTCGGGGACGCCTTTGCCCAGACTTTCCCGGGGCTCGAGGGCACGTATAACTACAAGAGCTGCCGGCCGCGTGAGAGGCGGTAGGGTCTTGTACGGGGAGAAGCAGCAATGCACTTCTTGTCTTCTCCTCCGCGCGGCACTCGAGACCATGCCATTGGTCGTTGTGCCGTCATCTTCTTCTCCTACTTTCTTTCACCTATTGTTGACTTGTATACTCGTAATCATCAGGCAACGTCCTGCAGCTGGAGGTATGGCGTTACCGGCTGTTCGACGGGAACGGCCGGAGGAAGGGAGGGAAAAGGAGCTGAGATTTCTTGGAGTTTTTTTTTTTTTTTCTTTTTAGAGGCAAAGCACGTTGTGCTTGGATCAGGGACTTCGGGAAGGGCGGTGGAAATCCCATGACTAAAATTTGGTGGAGCGAGGATATTGGGAAAAGCAATGGGCGAAGGGCAACAGACTTGATCTGGGCAAATATGGTGATCAAGGGGGTGTCCTAGGACGGAATTTTTGGGTCATTTGTGTCAGCCCCGACGGCAGGCCCGCCGCCATAGAAACGATGGACCTATTTATTAACCATCATTATGTATCATGAGTCCCTTTGACGTGAATGGCGGCAAACTGACGAACCATCTTGTCTTGAGTTATGTCATGCTATAGAGGCTATGATCACTGCTAAAGCTGTTCCAAGCACATACGACCATACCTACTGGAAAACTCGGGATCCCGTCCGCTCTCCCATAGATAAGCCAGTAAGGGTCGAACTAGTAGTTGGGTGGGTGACCACCAGCGAATCCTTGATGTTGTATGTTTTTGTTTTTTTGATGTTTTGCATGCGGCCATCGTGAGCGTTGTTGAATCTCGACGTTCAAGACTTGTATTTGGTGAGTGTGTATTTGGGGTGCTCAGGTGCATCTCAGCCTATGGCATCAGCGGTAGGGCGGCCGCATAACAGGCCACATGTCGACCAGGGGGTGACGTCCCCAACCTCAGAGGGCTACTTCCAGGCGTGATGCTTGCATACAGGATTCTGTGCAAGACTCTGGGTGCAAAGCTTTCTATTTGTACGATACATCTTGTCGAACCGCGGTGGAATCTTGTTTGTATCATTTTGCATGTCAATCAGTCGCATGCATTACGAACCGGAGCGCCTGCCCCTGTCGTACTCATCCGACAACATGTCCATGAGCACCCTTCCCAAGTCCCAGCCATTTTCGTACTTTGTCGATAGCGACGACTGTGGATAGTCCGCCAGAAGCATCCTCCCTCACACTCTTCAGATATGGCAGCTCTCATCTCAAGCCTCATCATCCTCCCCGCTCACGCCCACGGAATACTTCTTCACCACACCTTGATGACCGATCCAAAGACTCGCATGCCTCTCCATCGGCATACTCTGGAACACCAGGCTTCTCACCGGGCCCCTCGTTGACGCACGGTCCACGGCCGGGGCGCGCAGTCTCAGGCCCGAGCGCAGCGAGTACAGAGCCACGCGGCCGTCGTGCGTGTCGTGGGCCGCGGCCACGACACCCACGTCCTGGTTGACGTCGAAACCTATATGCGTGTGCGCTTCATTGCGGTATTCGGGGAAGGTGAGCACTGGTGTTGCGGGCTGAACTACGGCTGGGCCCGAGGGCTGCGCAGACCGTCCGTGGTCGCGGCCACGATTCCTCTTCTTCATCCGTGGGACTTCTGAGCGGGTCTGGGCCGACGGTTCCGTTTTGAGGAAGCGGAGGTCGTAGATGTGGAGGTTCGATCGCAAGGCAGCGACGAGTATGTGGTTGGGATTGGAGTCGAGGGAACGTAGATGGGTGACGGCGCTGGCAGCTCTGAAGCAGCTCCATGCCTGTGGGGGAGCACGGAGGTCGAGCGTCCTGACTGTGGACGACCGGGTCCCGGCGTAAAGGATGGAGGGGTTTGCGACGTTGAAGGCTTGGGCAAGGACATCCATCGGAAGAGGCCTTTGGTGGGCCCCATCAGCTTTGGGTGTGATCCAGCTGATATTGCTATTGGACGTGAGGCGGATGATACCGTCGTCGGTTGCGAGCGTACACATCAGTTCGGACGAAGCGGTTGGGGCTGGGGTGGCTAGATTGACAGAGTACGTACGACGGCCTGGCGCCATACGAACACTCTTGTAGTGGTTGGCCGCTGCACATGTCAGTCGCCGTACCCCAAAGGAGAAAGAGCGTTGCTCAAGGAAAACATACGCAACCTAGGGGAACCGAGCTCCCAGTGCGGCCTGTCCTCCGTGGGCGAAGTTACTCGCGGTGAAAAAAAGTGAACGCCAGGATCGTTTGAAGGCTCCCGCGTCGTGACGAGCATGCGATGGGAAGGTTGATGGTAGCTGATTGAAGAGACCTGATTACACTGAACCGACTCCTCGTAGACCACGTTGGTCGTGGTGATGCGTTGCTGCGTTGGTGAGGTTCTCTGGCCTACTCTGGGAGTTGTCAGAAGTGAGGCCACATTTTGTCACGAGGAGAGCACTAACATCCCGCAGCTGTCGGTATGAATATACGTGCTTCTTACAGAGGAAGACTCTGACAAGGCTGCTTCATTCGATTAGTCACATGACACATGGCTTCATCGCCGTCACTCACACGTGTAAGCAACCCCGACCCCTGTTCTCGTGTCTTCACCCCCAACCCACAAACATCCGAGATTTGGCACAGCACCTCTTCGACTGTCATCCACGAATCCCACGTGGTGCCGATCAACAAGCCCTAACGCCCATACTGCAGCAGACACCTCGGCGTCTGGAGCTCCGATACCAAGCTGGCGGTCGAGGAACCCACCAAGCAGCGGCTCACGCAGAGCCCTTGCTCGCTTCACATTGCGCTTTGTCCTTTCAGAGCGGGCGTGCTTGGCGGCAGTGTGCTCGTTCTCGAGCTTTCGACGCTTGACATTGGCGGCAGACCAAGCGGCAGAGGCAGGTGCCGAATGCGACTTTTCAATCTTGAAGTACTTCTTCTTGACCTCGTCTACATGACGTTAAAATCAAAGTCGGATCGGGCATGAATGATAGGGAAATACCGTAGTAGTAGCCTGGCAATGAAAGGCTCATGGTGGGTGTAGTGTTGAAGATGAAGCTTGCCAGAGGTGGATTGAGATATCACGTGTTTTCAGCGCCAGGTACCCACGCCCAAAAATCTTTGCTCGCAGAGCTGCGACATCACGACTCGCCAGCGTGAGCACTGCTGGCGCCCATTTCTGTTTGCGTCTTGGATCCTTGGAGAAAGCCACTCCGATTCCGAGTGCAATTGAGTGGTCAAGGGGCACAATTGATCTATTCAACGATACATTCAGCCCATCGCCGCTCGCTCAGTTCCTCGCTCCACCCCGCGTATCGCGTGAGAAGCCCGACGACCCCAACCACCTCACCCCCCCTTGCACAGATTCAGAGACGCATGAATCGTCCGCGATGTGAGCCCGCAGCGTGAGGCCCGCATAAGCCCCAAACTCAGTTTCCCAGACCAAACCAAACAAGAGCAGAAACTCCATTCTCATGCATCAAACAACCTCAGCTCTGCCGTGCCGTGATCCATTGTCCCCTCCATCCTGCCCAACAAGCTGCATGAGGGGGAGCTGCCCCTCCCGCCCCCGCCCACCCCTTCGCGTGACGTATCGCTGAACCCCCTTCACGACCATTATCAAAACCTCACCATCCCCTCGTCCTGACCACACAACCCATCAGCTCGTTACCCACAAAGCACGACATAGTCCCGGCACCGTCTCCCCAGTAGCCAGCCCGCCCACTCACCCACTCGAGCGCCTGCCGCCTCATCTCGCCTCACGTCGGAGCAGACGAACCGGCCCAACATGGTCTACACAATCACAGTGCACCTCTACGCAAACGACCGCCCGGACTCGATCGACCGTATCAAGGCCAAGCTGATCGAGGCGTCCCGCGTCTACGTCAATGACCGCGAGACGGTCAACTGGTTCGTCATGCAGGACGTCCACGACCCCCGCGCCTTCACCATTGTCGAGCGCTTCGAGCAGGAGAGCGTACGTGCCCGTCCAGGCTGTGATGCCCACTTCCATGTGTTTCCCCTGCCTTGTGCCGTCACGCTGACACGATCCGTCGCTACAGAGCCAAAAGTACCATCTCGAGAACCCTTACTGGAAGACATTCGATCCATATGTGATGCCTCTGCTGCAGCGTCCCATGGATCTCAGGCGACACGAGGAGCTCGACACCAGCAAGGACGTGGTCGTGCCGCAGTAACATGTTGCTCGCGACGAAAGAGAACTTGGGCGTCACCAATTCACCTCCGCGACAAACACACAACACTCTAGGAAAGCAAGAGACCTGAACAGTCACAACGTGATAGAGCCATAGTATTTTTACTGTTTTGGTATTAAAATCAAGTCTAGGGTATGACGCCCCCAACCACTCCATGCTGCGCCCCTCCGACGGGACGACTTCACCTCCGTTCGACACCGTTCACTAGGTAATCATTATCGATGTGATACGGACATCGCATAATCTAAACACAGGAAAAGAAAGGTTTATGTCCATCGAGCCTATCTCCTCTGTACTTCTCCGGTTCCGAGCGTCACCGTTGTTGGGTGGTGACCTGCGCGGTAGCAGCGAGATCGACCGCTTACTGCGACTTCTCGTGCTGGGTGGAGACGCGCTGCAGAGAGACAACAAAGTCCTCGAGCGAGCGCTGCTTCTGGGAGCCCTTGGGGGACTTGCCGTGCATCATGTTGTCGAAGCCGGCGTTGTCCTGGAGGATGTAGTAGACACCGGCGCAGACGCAGAAGACACCGAAGGAGAAGATCCAGATACGGACAACGGCGACAATGCTGGTCTGGCCGTGCTCGAACCAACCAAAGATACAGAAGAGGGTGGCGAGGATGTCGACGATGAAGATAGCACCGGACAGCTGCCACGAGGGGATGGAAGACCAGAAGGGACCGTTGGCACGAGTGATGAAGATCAGCCAGTTCTCAGTCAGAGAGACCTGGAGGAAGACAACCTCGTCCAGGTTACCGAAGTTCTGGACGATACCACCGTTGGGGCCGTGGGCGTACATGGTGGTAACGGTGATCCAGGTGCCGATGGCGAGGACAATGCCGAGGATGACAGAGATTCCCCAAAGCTTGGGCAGGTTCCACTTGACGGGGGCCTTGCTGTAAGGAGCGTTGTCGTAGGCGATGGCCAGGGTGGCGATATCAGCGAAAATGGCGATGAAGACAACGAGCTCAATGTTCAGCGAACGGTTGAGGATGGCAATCCAGAGACCGAGGTACAGCTCGCATGTGGATGGACAGAGCAATACGGTAGACGACGTAGG